ACTTTCAAAAATAATATTAAAATAATAATCTATGAAGTGTCGATAGTTATTTTTCGTCCAATTTTTTGAATTTTTTTTTTAATACTTAAATTTTGTAATTTATTAAAGTGTTATTATGGCATTTTAGAGAAAAAAAAAACAATGAATATATTATTGTTTTCATAAAATTGTGATTTTAAAATTATAGAGACAACTATATAAAATTAAAATAATATTTAAATCTTCTTATTTGAAAAAAAAAATGTGTTTATTTTTATTAGTCAAATTAGAGAAAATATTTTATATAAAAAAATGGAAAAAAAAATATGACAATATTTAATGAATTGATATATTAAACAAATATATTTAAATGGTCTCTTTTTAATCAATTAAAATAAATATTTTTAATGACCAACTTCTATTTGAAATCTGCTAATAAAATGGTAAAAGTATGAAATAAACACAACAGTAACAAAATATACGAAGTCGGAAAAAAATATGATTATTATTATTATTATTATTATTGACTTTTTGGAAAAATACAAAAATTATGAAAAGTTTCTCAAAATTGCGAAATTGCGCGTTTTTTGCCAAAGCGACTGATGCACGGCATGAATTTCTCATCATTATTATTATTATTTGTCTTTTTATGGAATATTTGTGTTTTTATTTACAATTTATTATTATCTGTTTTAGATTGAATTGTAAATTCTCCTCTAACTTCGAAAAAAATTGAATTTAATTTTTATAATTTTAAATGTTAGATAGTCGTTGTTATTATATGGTAATATGTCATCATTTTAAATGCCCTATATAATTTTTAAAATGCATTTAAAAAATATAATTATCAAAATTATCTTTAGACGGTCGCACAATATTTATTAAAAAACAATCATACATTGACTCTTTATTTTAGTCACTATACATTAAAAAAATGATCATTTATATTATTTTTATTTTTTAATAGCTTCATCGATATGCATCCCAACCAACCTATATGACCCTATACATTTGCCCTATCTTATTAGCCAGATTATTCAATTATCTAAATCAAATTAAAAATCTACCCAAAAAAACGTATAAATAAATAAATATGAAATTTTAGACATAAATGATAATTTTCCACGTAAGCAAAAATGACTAAATTTGTTTTATATAGATTATATTATTAAGATTTCTAGAAACAATTGTTTACAGTAATTAGGGTTTAAAAGAGTCGGAATCAGAGAAAATTACCGAAAACACAGACAGAAAGCATCAAAATAAAGGAGAAGAAAGGAAATTGCAAGGAAGACGCGCCGCCGGTGGGGATAACTTTAACGAAAACTTCGATTGCACTGATCAACGGCGGCGAGCCGGCGGAGGAATTTGCAGCGGAAAGTGTCACATTCACAGTCGGCGTTCTCACAATAATCGGATACAGAGTAACCACCGTACATCTTTCAAAACTAGTAGTAATCGTGGACAATTTCTGGCCGTCGATGAAGATATCGATGGTTCTGTTTTTGTCATCAAAAAAAGTGTCTTCTTCAGTGAAATAGAGGACAAAGTAAGCGGATTGGGAAGGAGAGGAGGCGTTGGAGAAATCGACGGTGAGGATGATCGGAGAAGAGGCGTTGACGGCTTCAATGGCGCTATCTAAGACGAAGGATGGAGGATCGTTTTCCGGCGATTCGAAATCGGGAATTGCTGATATTACATTGCAGTTTGGGGGAGTGGTTCCCAATGTCCATATTCTTTCATAATTATCGTCAGATGACAAAAGCCTGTTCTTCCAAAACTCAGGTTGTGAAAATGGTATGATGTTAAATATATGTTTTCTTTTATTATTTCACCACTCAATTTTTAATCCTTGCATTTATTTTATTTCAGTCTAATTTTAATTTTAGACTCCTAAATTTTGTAACTTTCTACCAAAAAAAAATATATATATATAATATAAACATTTAAAAGTTTATATAATATTTTTAAATAAAAAAAATCACTAAATATGAAAATTATTACTACATTTGAACTTAATAATATTTCAAAAATATTATTAAATTTTAAAATACTTTGTTACTATACTTTAAACATATTAATGAAAATTTAAAAAATAGCCTTTTATTAAGAAATTTTTTTACCGTCATTACATGGACAAAAATCATACATAGACATTTCATAGTTTTTCTTATAATTTTTTAACGGTATTTTGAAAATTTTTAGATATATTTTTTTAAAAAAATTACAAAGGTATTGATGAAATTTTTTAAAATTGTAGGTATTTTTTTGAAATATTTTTTTTTTGAAATTTAACATTAATGATTTTAATCTAAAATTAACTGTAAATATTTTTTTAGTTTTTTTTTTTAAGCTTACAAAAATTTAAAAGATTTTTTTAAAGACAAATATAAAATTTAATGATATTTTTTATTAATTTAACTTTAAAAAATATTTTAACATTTAACGTGCGATTTGTTTTTAAGGAATTAATGAGTGTATGTATGCTAGCATATAAAGTATAGGTTAAATTATAAAAACAAACTACTAGATTAATTATACTTTAATTCTTAATTATAAATTAAATTTATAAATTTTAAATTTGGTGTTTATTATAATGGTGGGTTAATTAAAAAAAACTAATTTAATAGTTTTAAAATTGAGTGTGTATGTTATTATTAAAATTTTTATTTTATGTTTAATAAATAATTGAAAAAACTGAAAATTTATTTGTAATTTAACCAATTTAAAATCATACCTTCCATCGTCATTCCCGTAGTTAATCCGAGCGACAACCCGAAACGTTTCGTTAAATTTCATCTTTGCGTATAAATCGTCGCCCGTCGGAACCGCCTGAATCGAAGAGATGAATGGAATTCCGCCGTCTTTCCTCTGCGCCAAACACATATTCATAAATCCAGATCTCTCCGATGTATACACCAATTCGTCGAATATCGTCTCCGTCGCCGACACCGGCTCGATCGTTGACATTTTCTTGCCGTCGAGAAGAAGATCGAACGCCGGCGGCCGATTCAAGCCGTCGTAATTGCCGTAGAGGAATCCGGATCTTACGAGGTACCGTAGATTCTGATCGTAAATCGGCAATTTGTAGCAGCTCAGTTCCTTCGAGGAAGGGAAAAATCGGAGCGTGGTCAAAATTTCGAGCGGCTGATCTTTATTTGTTCGAATTTTTTGGTTGATTCCGGCGTCGGTGTATAGATCGTCTGTGTCCCATGCAACTAGAGAGCCGTCTATTAGAAAATCCTCGCTGCCACAGTCGATGCTCAACCAGTCGTCGCTGTTGACTGCCCCGAAAAGGAAAATCAGTTTACTCTCATCCTCAATCGAATTTAGCCATTAAATTTTGCTAAATAGAGTAATTTCTTCACTACTTTAAATAAAAATGTAATCCTTTTTTATTATTATTATTTATACAAGTTTAATATTTAAGTTAGATTAATCACCAAAATTATTTAGACTAACCGATATTGTTTTATTTAGATTTTTTCCAGATTTTTACTCATGGTTGGGCTTTCCTTCGAGCCTGGTGGGTTTCTTTTCATAATTGGCTTTTCTTTTCGACCTTTTGGGTTTTCCCTCGTGGTTGAACTTTGCCTTCTAGCCTTTTAACTTTCTCACAAGGTTTTTAAAATGCGTCCACTAATAAACATTTTCACCCCTATTCCTTTCCGGCCGTCCAGACTTCCCCTCAGAGTTTATAAAACACGTATATTAGGAAAATGTTTTTAGAACGCATCCCTTAGAGAAGTGTTTCCACTTTATTTGGGCTTTCTCGTATTGACTTCCCTTTAAGGTTTTTAAAGTACATCAATTAGAGAGAGATTTCCACACCATAAAAGGAACATTCGTTTTTCTCTTTAATCGATGTGAGGTCTCATATTATCTATCTAAACCGATAGTTTAGAACATATAAAAAAAAAAAAAAAAAAAAAAAAAAAAAAAAAAAAAAAAAAAAAAAAAAAAAAAAAAAAAAAAAAAAAAAAAAAAAAAAAAAAAAAAAAAAAAAAAAAAAAAAAAAAAAAA